GTCTGTTTTTTGCAGCTTACAGTCATCTAAATTGTGAGGGTGCAGTTTCAATCACATCACCATCTTGAATTTTTGACCCATCCCTGGAGATGCTTCTGTCACCAAAGTAAAAAATAAGACCCCCGAGAGACTTGAAAAGGAATCTCTCTGCCAGTCACAGTTCTTGGCAATGCTCTTTCTGTCTGCTTTTTTTTTTTTTCTTCAGTCAAAGGCAAGCCAGAGATGGTGACTTGCTTGATTGGTTGGTTGTGCTGGAGAATCAGGGCAATAATTCTGCCTCCTCTTGCTTTTTACGGTCAGGGAATCAAAAAGAGATTAATCTGCAGTCCCAGAACTAGAAGCTACACTAGATCTGGAATGCAGATGCAAGCAGAACCCTGAAGAAGGTTAAGCATCATTAATTAATTAACAGCAAAAAAACAAAATCCAAAGCATTTCTAAGAATCAGGGACGACATTACAGTCCAGAGAGAAGATATCCTAGCCTTTTTCTTCTCCTTCCCTGGTTCCCCCAAAAATGACTAGCATCACCCATTAATGCAAGAGTTTTAAGGAAAAATAAAGTTGTTGTTTTTTTTAAAGAGGTCGAGAAAATGTCTAAACCAATATAAGAATGTAAGGAATCCAGAATGTGACACAACCTCAACAGAGGCATTTTTCAATCATTTGATGATAAATTTCCCTATTCCTAGCCCCAGAGCACAGGAGAATCCCTTGCTTTCCAACTGCCTTCTCCTCCCAGATTATCCTGATTTTTAAAAAGACAATGTATTAAGTACAAGCTGTGTCTTAATGCAGCCTGATGGGCACCTAAAGGCGATGTCAAATGCCCCTTCAGCCAATGAAGACTGCCATCAAGTATTTGACATTGAATGTGGCATGTCATGCACATCGATGGAGGAGTGAAAGCTACCATTTACAAGATCAGTGACAATAACTATACAGAACTATGGGGGGGGGAGTTGGGATTGCTTTAATATGATTGCTAACCAGCAATTTAGCTCACATTGTTTCTGACAGAGTGTCAGTCTGACATTATGTGAAATGAACGATGAGAGTTTTCAAAGGATGCACATTCCTCTCTTTGGACAATAGCTATCTTTTTAAATATATATATATATCTGTGAGCCTTTGAGTTGACAGCTCACTATAAAATAATTGTTATAGACTTTTTCTTAAAAAAAAACTGTGTCAATGGTATTATTATTATTATCATATTCATTTTTACTCCGTGCTAGTGCGGTCTCCATTAACATTCTACAAAGTCCTGACTTGTCCTTGATGTTGAATGGGGAGAACTCAATAGGATTAGTTACATGAGAAACTATACAGTGATTATACGTCAATCGAGGCAACTGAGACTTGAAAGAAGAAACGATACCTATCAGTTAAAAAAAACTAATTCCTGCTAGATATCACAAGGGATAGTTAGAACTTTTCTGGTGAATTTCATTATTTTATAAGGAATGAGAGAATTGGAGCCATATCTCAGGTGTTGGTGTAGACCAGGGGTCTTCAAACTTGGCCCTTCCCCACGCTGGCTGAGGAATTCTGGGAGTTGAAGTCCACAAATCATAAAAAGGCCAAGTTTGAAGACCCTTGGTGTAGACAAAGCCTGATTTAATTTTCTGGAAACCAAGATTAGGCACAGACAACCCACGGAGTGTGTGTGACCAACAACATCCTATTTATGTGTCTATGTGATTAGCCGTTGAAACTCAGTGGCAAGGAAACTCAATTTTGACTACATCTGTTCCATTTTTAAAAAATGGAAAAGTAAAGATGGGAATGGAAGCCCAAGACCATTTGGCAAAGGAAGCATGCCCATTTTTACTGGTATCCCACCTTCACCCTCCTCCATTTTGAGGTCAAAATTATTGTGGTAAAATTCTGTTTTGTTTTGGAGGTGCACTATTCAGCTGAACTTGTAATGTAAGAGCAGAAATGGAAGTGCAAGTGTTTTCCCCTGAAAAAAAATAGGTCAAAATATTAGTTTTACTTTATTTATTTCCCACCTTTAGTATTTTTACAAATAACTCAGGGCTGCAAACATACCCAACACACTTTCCTCATCCTATTTCTCCCACACCAACCACCTGTGAGATGGGTTGGGCTGAGAGACAGTGATTGGTCCAAAGTCACCCAGCTGGCTTTCATGTATAAGACAGAACTAGAACTCACAGCCTCCGGTTTCTAGCCTGCTGCCTTAACCACTAGACCAGGGGTAGGCAACCTTGCTCTTTTATGATTCATAGACTTCAACTCCCAGAATTCCTGAGCCAGCCATGCTGGCTCAGAAATTCTGGGAGTTGAAGTCCACGAGTCATAAAAGAGCCAAGGTTGCCTACCCCTGCATTAGACCAAACTGGCTCATTGGCTCACCTAGTTCCCCTCCCTCCCCCACTGCAATAACATTACAAGTAACAAATAGTTTCCCTGTGATCATGGAATGTGAATTGCAATTCCTTGGCCCTAAAGGTTTACCCACCCTATATCCTTAGTTGCAGTTTCATAACTATATAGTTGAATACTTGGGTTAGATGCTATAGTACTAATTCTCATGCAGCATTTAAATCACTGTTTACCAATTCTGCACAACATTAAGATTTTGCATTAAGGTGTACAAAAGAAGAAGAGAGAAAAGTGTTTATTCTCTATCAAATATACCATAGTTTGTTGGATCATTCATTGTATTTCAATCCAGATCTTTGGTTCCTCAAATTTCTTTTAGTATTTTAATTGGTATAAACGCTGATAAGGATGCTTGGATAACATGATGAATTCTATTTGATAGCCATTAAACAGAATTTCGGATAGTACTACTGTAGTTTTACCAATACTGTAGTAAAGGGACAGAGAAAGTCACTAATATTTAATTGAGACAAAAATATTATATCTCTGCCAATTCTTAAAATTAGAATTCCATTCAGATGTTTTAGTATGTAATAACAAGTTTGGGGGGTGGGGTTTAGAATGTAGATACAATAAATAGCTGCAGCCAGTAGTGGGATTTAGCCGGTTCGCACCGGTTCGGCAGAACGATATCTCATTTTTTGTTGAGTTCAGCTAACCGGTTATAATAAATCTGAGTCTCCACTCCTGGCCTTCCTGTATCCAGTTTTTCCAAGTTTTTTTCAATCCGATGTTGAGGTTTTCTCTCTTGGCTCCTCCCTTCAGCCGTTCGGGTCTTGCCGCTCTCACACTCCTCAGGGTGATGGAGGAGGTTCTCCAAAGCACTGGCTGAAGCTGACGTCCTGTTCCATGCCTAAGGGAGACCTCCTCCACCACCCTGCAAGTGGAGGTGCGGGGGGGGGGAGACAGGTGATCCGGATGTACTGCATGGTGGCAGCAAGTGGAAGCAGGCAGGAGAAGGCTCCCCCTCTGCTTGCTGCCACCGTGCAGCACATCCAAATCACATGCCTTCCCCCCCCCCGCCTCCGCTTGCAGAATGATGAAGGAAGTCTCCCTTGGGCTTCTCCTACTTTCTCTTCCTCCTCCTTTGAACAGCCCTGTGTTCCCATTGCTGTTTTTACAGTCCCGGATCTCGGTTTGTCCGGACCCTGTGCAGAGGGTTTTTGGAAACGAAGCCCTGCAGCAATCGGGTGGGGTGGGAACCATTCCCTTCGCTTTTGGACTGGCTCTGAAATGGGCTGGAAGGAGCGGCCCAAAGACTCCAATCTGGCTTTTACAGCAAGCAAGGGGATTGGAGGCACGTGAATGCATGCTAATCTGGTGTCTCAAAAAACTGGGATTATTTTCCCCCATGCTGGATTTTTGCTGCCATACTGTTTAACTTTCTTTAAAGTTTACTTGACGCAGAACGGGCAAACGTTAAAAAAAGTTAAACAGTATGGCAGCAAAAATCCAGCACAGGGAAAAATATCCCAGTTTTTTGAGACGCCAGACTAGCGTGCATTCAGGTGCCTCCCATCCAATGGTGGGATTCAGCCAGTTCGCACCATTTCGGCAGAACCAGTAGCTAATTTTTTGTTGCCCAGGCCCAGAATGGACCTCCGGAAGCGGCGTCCACACAGAGAACCAGTTGTTCACATATTTGAATCCCACCACTGCTCCAATCCCCTTGCTTGCTACAAAGCCAAATTGAAGTCCTTGGGCTGCTCCTTCCAGCCCTTTTCAGAGCTGGTCCAGAAATGAAGGGAATGGTTCCCACCCTACTCGATCACTGTGGGGCTTTGTTTCCAAAGAACCTTTGCACAGTCTCTGGACAAAATTCCTGGACTGAAAAAGCAGCAAGGGGAGCGAAGGGCTATTCAAAGGAGGAGGAAGAAGGAGAAAGTGGAAGAAGTCACTACCAAACAGGCGAGGCGTGACAGGTGTCGGGGCGTGGTAGGCCTGGCTGTGTGAGCCCTTCAGCACGGTAAGCAGTTGTGGGGTGCATGGGGCAATTCCCCCCTTCTTCACCTGCCTCGTGGTAGTGCTCCCCCACCTCCCCCCACCTTCCCCCCTGCAGGGAACCGGTTATTAAATTATTTGAATCCCACCACTGGCTGCAGCCAATGATGTCTCTCTGACACCTTCACGATGTAATTTATTTTCAAATATAATGACAGGTCACGTTCAGTGCATCCTTTGAAAGTGTATTTCAAAAATATAGCAGGTGAAGAGGCCTTTACAACATTTCTGATGCAAGTTCCCAGTTTTTGTATCTTTATATCATACTGAGTAGTCCCATTTTCGAACCCAATTTCAAGGAGACAAGATTGTACATGACATAAGAGATTGTTCTGCATTTGCTGATCAGAAGATTATAAGAATGTTTAAATAAACCTGTGGGAAATTGACTGTAGTATCCTACTATTTCCTTCTTTTCAGGAGAATAGATGATATCTATTATCTATTAAAATAGATCTATTAAAAATAGATAATAACCTATGGAAAGATTTAGTTGAAGGTAAATATAGAACTATTTGCAAAGGTTCCCAGTTGGAAGTGTTCTTCCTTCATCACTTGGTGTTCCTGAAGCTGTATGATCTTCTGCAGGTTAGCCAATATACATTTGCCATGTGCAGCTACCGAGAGAAAAAAGCTGAACCTCAAGAGCTGTTGCAGCTTGATGGATACACGGTAGACTATACAGACCCACAACCCGGTAAGTAAGATGGTAAGCTGAGGTTTGTTTGCTTGTTTTCTGAGAGTCAACTTCCTCGATTATAGGCTTAACTGACATTTCTGTATATTTTTATGCAAATTGCTTAATTATGTTCTTTGTGAATTAAATGATCAAGATGATTATGATTATTAAAAACACAACAATTGGGTGGTCTCCATCTTAAAGGAAGGAACTTATGAACATATCCCTACAGTAAGTTTTTTCACCAGTGTTATGGACAGTAGAGAGTGAATTACCAATCACTGGGGAACAAGTGATGAAGAATTCAGGAAGTTACGAACCAGTTTATTGATTATATTGGTGAAAAACATTATTCCAGATAAATTTGGGCTGAACAGCTTCAGTAAGGGTTCAATAAAGCTAAGACCTTCATCACAAACCTTTTACCATCCTTTGCCAATATCAGCAAAAAGGGAATGATAGAGGAATCCAATATATTTGCTTAGTTTCAGAAAACATTGACAAAAAATCTTTCACCAAGGATTCATAAGATAAATTATTTTGTGATTCTTATGAAGAAGTAACAAATTAAAAAACAGAAAATGTAGAAAGTAAAATAAATGGGATTACTTTAATGATATAGAGTTTTAAACAGTTGGTCTTTCCAAGGATTAGTACTCTTGTTTCATTACTAAATGAACTGGAATTAAGGATGAGCAATGACATGGATAAGTTAATTGATAGCACCAAAGTGCAATGGATAACTTTAAAATTATCTTAGTTTTAACAGTGAAGTGACAAATATAGTTTTATATGAGGCAAAGAAAAAACTAACTTCACATACAATGTATGCTAAAGGATCTGAGCTAAACATGATTAAATGGATATATAATATTGAAATAGAATGATTTGATAGCAATCACACTTATATACCACTCTATAGTGCTTTACAGCCCTCTCTAAGTGGGTTACAGAGTCAGCATATTGCCCCCCAACAATCTGATTCCTCATTTTACTGACCTCGGAAGGATAGAAGGCTGAGTCAACCTTGAGCCCGACAGGATTGAACTCCTGGCAGTGGGCAGAGTTTGCCTGCAATACTGCATTCTAACCACTGTGCCACCACTGCACCAACATGGCTTTTTATACTTCATTAATACTTTAGCCCAAAGTGAAAAACACAAAAGACAAATTTTGGATTGGTGATCATTACAAAAGGATAGATGTTCTCATGAAAAATTATAGGAGTTATGCAAAAAAATAATGGGGAGTCTTTCTCTGTTTCTTACAAAACTACTGCAAAAGCACCCTTATATAAAGAATGAAAGATTCCAGGTAAGCAAAAGAAAGTCATTCTCCTGACAATATTTAAAAACCATGGAATTCAGTAGCTCAGCAAATTCTTCCCCCCACAGTACACACATTTGTGCTTTTTGCCTTGAATTCAAAGAATCCTTTGCAAAAGTCCTCATTCCAGAAGCAGATCTTACCCCTCCTTCAATTTGCAGCTCCTTGCCCCTTCTCATCCTTCATCCTAATGAGATTCCCTAATCCTAGGGAGACTTTGCAGAAAATTAAAAAAAAAGTAAGATGATTCAGAAGGTCTCCTTAAGCAACCATAACTGCATCTTTTGTTTTGGGGATCCATGACCTGGAATGTCAAATGCGGCTGTTTCTAAACAATTGCTTTTTGATTATCTTTCAGGTTTAGAGGGCGGCCGAACGTTTTTCAATGCAGTGAAAGAAGGAGACACCGTGATTTTTGCAAGTGACGATGAGCAGGACCGCATCCTCTGGGTCCAAGCCATGTACCGAGCTACAGGCCAGTCCCACAAACCTGTTCCACCTACTCAAGTTCAGAAGCTTAACGCTAAAGGAGGAAACGTACCCCAGCTAGATGCCCCCATTTCTCAATTTTGTAAGTAAAACATATTCTTACCAAACCAAACAGTTTGGACTTAAAAGATGCTTGTTCATAGATATTGGGGGGAGGGGGAGAGAAGGGCTCAGATTATGTATTTCATTATTTTTACATTTTGAAAATTCTTCATAATATATGCAAAGGATCAAGGGAAAAAATGTTCTTCCATAAAAATGCAAAGGAAAACCTAAAATGCAATACTTGATGTACGGACTCTAGGATTTTCCAGCTCCTAACTTGTTCTGCCCATTTTTTTTTTCATTACCGCACTCTCCTTTTCAGTATTTTTGGAACAATCGCCTCTTTGGGGGACAATCATGTATAAAAGGCCCTTTATAAAATTGATTACTAACAATTCAGCGTAAGGAACAGTGTAATAATTAGCCATTAAAGACTATTGCTCTAATTTGGCTTGCTCCAAAATGCGATGAAAGGAGGGAAGTTATAAATCTACCAATCTGCTTGTTTTAGAAATGGAATAGGCTGACCCCTTCACTATGTTCGATATGGGGCATCTCTTCTCCACTTGGTTGTCCATCCCTACTTTACTAAAGTTGTCCTACCATGGCTACTTTCTGGTTTTCTGCTCTAGGCAGGTTCTATTGCTTTACATGGAACCTACTCAAGAAGTATGTCTATGGATTCTCAGTCATTCAAGATGTTTCGTTTTTCATCCAAGAAGCTTCTTCAGTCGGAACTTGGATGAGAAGCAAAACATCTTCATGGAAAAACAAAGTCCAATTGCCTTTTGAAAAGCACCTTTGGGACATAGTCAAGAAGTGGGTCTCTTTCTACCAGCCCCCAGAACAGCAGCATTCAAAGTATAAGGGCTTAATGATGTTGACATACAACCTCTAACTTACAGACTGTAGCAATCTCAATAGCCCAGGGATTGCTGGCAAAGGACAGATAGACTAATATTCACCCATTGCATGTCTACATAAGGGTAGTATGGGATGTATATATGAATATGTGATCCTATCCCAGCAACACTATACCAAGGTATTATAGCCATAAATTAACATAATCCCAATGTAATATAGCTAGATTTACAATTTAGTTAATGGGTTAACTAGTTCATGGACTTATAGCCAGTAGCAATTTTGTATTTTGGTAGATAAAAGTATTTTTTGCACTTGGTCTGGAAAATATTTTTGCAGAGATCTTGGGAAATCTCCAATCCTGGATTTGGAAAGTTAACAAGGAGGGAAATTGGAAGAAATTGGTTCACATAAGTTACACTTTTGAATTGGAACATCCATAGACACAATTTAATGTTTGAATTCATGTTAGGTCAGGGTCCCTACATTATCTTAATGAACACAAAAAGGTGTAAGGTACTTATACTGATATTCTTACCTATATCCTTTTGGAATAAATTGTTGAACTGCTGAGACATTTGGGTAAAAAAAATCTAGTTACATTAATTTCTATGAAAGATTTCACCAGGTCAATGAGGTTGGATACATCAGCCCTTAATTTTATTTTATTTCTATTTATTCATGTATTCCTTGTTTTTTGAGTCATTTGACAAGGCTGATTAATCTGAAGTATCTCAAACTATTCATAGTTTTCTGGAATATTTTTTGGGTCTAGTTTGGTGTATTCTGGTTGTAATGGAAATATTTGTTTATTAACATATACATCTGCAGAAATTTATAATCTTTGAAAACAATAAAAATAACTTCCTCTTTTTTTTCACATTTGTGCATAACTTCGACTCACACTTAACCTTTATTATTGTCCAGCAAAGCTTGGTCTTCGTTTCAGTATGAGTTAAAACATGGCATGATACAGGTTGGTTGAAGGATATTAATTTCACATTTTACTTTTTGGTTGCAAATATACATTACACAAGGAATTAATTGGCAGTTTGACTGACCCATTTGATGGCTGCAGCACTTGGGCCTTAGAATAGCATCTATGTCTTTTAGACCCAATGACATGAAGAAAGTGTCAGGAAAAGCCCATTTCATGGTCCAAATTGTATAGCACATTTGTAATTTAGGTCAGGTAAGTAATAACAATGTATTTTTCTAGGTTGCTTGCCCAAGGATATTATGCAGTAGTTGGGTGGCCTCTCCTAGCTCTATGACTGGATTAAGAGTTTCATTTATTTATTTTTCTTTTCCATGTCCCAACATTCTTTCCTGAAGTTGTGCATTTTCCATTCCAGACATTCCATTTGCTTTGTCTTTACCTTTCCAGACAGCCAAAAATGCATCTTCTGGGAATTTTAACTTGTCTTTTTTCTTGCTGTTCTTTAAAGAATGTTCTGTCTCATTTCAATCCCAAGTTGATGAAGTCAAGAAGATTGATCAATAAGACTTTCATCTTGCAGAATTGCTTTTGTTAGTATTATTGTTTTTAATAATTATTCATAAACATATATCTCATATCCTTGTTTTTTATATATTTTTCCCACCAGTAAGGTCCTTGCCACTTTCTCAGGGAGACTATCATTTACTCAGAGGAGAAAGTAAAATAAGTTAAGGAAAATTAAGTTAAAAAGTAGATAGTTTTCAGAAGAAATTTCAGAATTCTTAAGAAAATTCCAAATTAGGTAAAAGAAAATCACAATTAGCTATTACACCAGTTTTGTTCTTTTTTTCATTGCTTCGGGCTAAACCAAGCATATGATTAAAAGTAGTTTCTTTCAGTTTTATATTGTTTTAGATCCACATTTCCAATTCCACACTGAGCAACCTAGCCTGAACAGGGATAAAAGAAAAAATCAGAGAAGCAAGTCAGGGGATTTGTGCACATATTATGTATTTACCTCTTTGTAGGTATATTATGTGTTAGATACTGACCTGTTGAGTTGCACAGAATAAAAGTGAGTTATTTGGGTTCTTTTGGAGTAGCTATAATGTTCTGTTCATAATGGTTCACAAAACTGAACCATTAAGAAACGGCTGTATGCAGTTTTGTATAAAGATACAGCTTTGTTCCTCTTATTCTAGGCTGGGTCTTTAATCCCTTACTTTCTGAATAAAAAAAAATGGGAACTAGAGAAAGCCTGCAAGCAAAAGTTTTCTTTTCGATTTCCTCATGTTTCTCATATGCTTTAATAACAAACTAGACTCCTTCTAAAAATTCCTTCTAGAATCTACATGCAAATCCTTAATGCAAGGTTTCCCAATCTTGGCAATATTCAGACACATGGACTTCAACTCCCTGAATTCATGGGGGATTCTGGGAGTTGAAGTCCACGTGTCTTAACATTGCCAAGGTTGGCCACAAGCACCAGTTCTAGTAGAAGAGGCATAAATGGATGCAACTGGTTTATAAACTGTTATTTCCTTATTTTCTGCTGTCTTGTGAAGTGATAGAAGGCAAAAGTGGTGAAGGAAGAAAAAGGTAGCTCAGGGGTCCCCAACCCCCAGGCTGTAGACCAGCACTAGTCCGTGACATGCCAGAAACCAGACTGCACAAACAAGAGAAGGCCCATCCGTGGGATGCAGGCAGCACACAAAACCACACCCCCTCCGGTCCATGGAAAAACCTCGCTCCACAGAACTGTTTCATGGTGCCTAAAAGGTTGGGGATCATGGGGTAGATGGTCTTTATAATGAAGAACCTACAAATGGGTTATTATGAGTACATCTGATAAGTAGCTCAGAATAGCTGCAAACACATCACTAGAAGTTGCTATAGGTAATACCGTAAATAGAAAAGACACCAAGAGATAAATATGAAGAAATTTTATCCAGTTTTGCAAATGCATAATCTGTGCAGAGGCCTTGTAGTCTAAACTCATGCATTTCTGCTGCTTGGCTACTCAGTGGAATATCTGTGAGCTCAGGCTATGAAATTTCACGCTTTATTGATGCCTGTATATTTGCATCTATTGCTTTTGTGTCAGAATACCAAGCTCCTTTTATAAACACATCAGTGGACAATAAAATATATGTATCAATGCAAGCAGTGAGTCCTTCTTATGCACACATGATGGCTACCATCAGATGTTCCAGGGTAATAGAAACCATAGTTCCTTTCCCATATAAATCAAGTATTGCATTTTCAAGTTTTTTTCCTTCTCACCCACAGAAAGGTAAGAATGGTGGTGGAAAAATACCTTAATGTGCGTTGCACTGTAATGTGCACATCTTTTTAATTTATTTTTCTAGCTCAGTTCTGGATACATGGGAGACTCTGAAGGAAGAACATATTGAAAGCGGTTTCCATTTTTCTAATATTTTTCTTGTGGTTAATATTTCCATAGATTACATAAATTGCCTAAAGATGGCAGAACTGCTTTGTGTTAACAACCAGAAGGGGGAAAATAATAATAAACCCATGCAAACACCCCGGTGTTAAGCTGAAGCTGTAAAACAGAAAGTTGAGAACAACACATTTTTACAGTTGGGAAAATTGGGAATAATACTGAATTCATTTGGTTCCTTTTCTAATTTGCCTTAACAGATATAAACTTTATGCAGTGCTTAATGTCCCCTTCAATATTTATTTCCAAGCCTGAATGAAACATCTTTTTTATTACTGTTATTTATAGAAAGGGGAGCGTACATTTTTAAATATAGTATGCATTTAAAAATACGCATTTTAAAATATACAAAAATACAACTTGCTATTCATCTGGGGGGGTAACCTTCTTTGGGGAAAAAGGCAGCTATTTTTGTTTTGGGATTTTGTTTTGGGTTTTGTTTTGCTTTGGCTTTTGCTTTTATATTAAACCAAAACAAAATTTCGCAATGCAGTCTTATGGTGTTATTTTAAGGTTCTGCTCTATTCAGTGGTTATTTCCCCTAGAGCGCATGGGGTAAGAGCTTAGCAGTTACCCTTTAAATATGTTTTTCATTAAAAGGAACACAAAGTTTTCCAAAGTATTTGCTATTTACTTCTGAAGTAATATATGACCCTTTTTGGCATTACTTTCATTAAATAATTATTTATTTGGACATATGAATATTTGTCTGACTCATCTTATTACTGGCATTAGTCAAAATGCATACAGACATATATATATATACATATAC